CACCTCATCTCGCATCACACCAACATGGAATACATATATGTTTATTGTTTTATATTCAGTTTCAACTTGCTTCTGAGAAAGCAAATTTGTACTTAGTAAAACACATCAGATCCAAAAGTATAAACCAACCATTAGAATGTTAATTTTTCAAGTCCCTTCCCTGTTCAAGAATAAAGTACAGTATAAGAGATGAAGAGAAGATTTGTGCTGGAACCCTTTGGTCATATTCAACATCATTTCAATAAGAATGACCAATAAATATAGAATGTGTGTATGTATATATGTGTGTGTGTAAATGTATGCATGTGTAAATGTATACAGTATAGGTGTATAAACATATGTATATACATAAACTCGCACACAGAGGGTCACAGACTCATGAACATCAGGTCTTATGAATGACCTCAAAGTTTTCCTTTTAGCCTCTCATTCTGCAATATAAAAAAAAATTAAAGTCACCATATAAAACAGAGCTACTGATGTACTGTTTCAGTTTAAAAGTGCATTAGTACCCAATAGTACAGTCGGGTACCTTGCTTTTACTTTTTTAAAATAGTTAAAAGTTCATCAATAACGACTGATAAGAAAAAGAAGTCCATTGGTGATGTATCATTGCTCGTGCATTGCCCAATGCATTGCATTGCATTGCATTGTCCTCTCGCGCAATATATTGTGTTTTGACGTCAAAATCCCAATGGACAAGTTATGATGTACTATAAATCATAGTGGCGAACAAACAGTCACGTTTTCTAAACGTAGGTCACTCGGTTAGGTCACCTTAGGTTAGGTCAGGTCAGGGTTTTTGAGTAGACCTTTTACTGTTTGTTGTGGAAACTCAAGAGGATGGGTTACATCACCACACACTACTGTCGCATCCATTAGTAATTATACCTCTTTGCTCTTCAAAAACCATCAAATCAGACAACTAGTACAAATCCACCATTCAAGGTAAATAAAAAGCAGTGTTTCTGATTGCTTCCCAAAAATTTGGCTTTGAATGTTGATTTTTGGTGGTCCAGGAATGGATCCCTCCCCCCCCTTAATACCATTGTACCTATTGGAAATCTGGTTCCACATTATGAATGCTTTTCAGAATACATCCCATTTGTAAGTTAGGGATGCTTGTGTATGTGTTTTTTTCTTTTAGACAATTGTTGATGTAGTGCTTAAAGCATTGGTGCTGTTGGTGGGGAGAATATGTATATACTGTGTGTGCATATATAATTACAGTATACATATATTGGTTCACCTTATGGTTTCTCATAACAGGAGAGAGGAAGCTTGTTAGATAATTAAGGCCCCCCCTTCCCTTCCCTAGACCAACTCATGACCTTCCCCAGGATGCAGCCAAGTTGTCTGATTCCTGGGTACATATTTACCGCTAGATGAACAGAGGCATCAGGTACACGGAAAGGCTGTCACAGTGCTGGTGTTCTGCCATGGGAATCAAACCAGAGACCTTTTGGCTGTGACTGAACTCCTCTGACCACTGTGCCACAGGACTACTGGGTCTTATATAAATCATATTATACAATTATTTTCCAACTGTTTTTATTTTACTTTTTTTTTATACTGTACTTCATTTTAAAATGATAATTTACAGAGGAATGTAAATATATTATAAGACTGATATGTCAACATGCCCAAGTAAGATATATATGGAGGGCTGTGTAAGATATATGCAGCATGAACATGGGGTGACTACTTCATAGTCAACCAACACACAATGCTGGTAGTCTCTCTGGCTGACCTATGAATCCTTGGTATGTATAAAATGGTGTAATTTGCAACATCTTTGTACTTGTACAGATTAGCTTATACATACTGTATATATCAAGAGCTTTCCAAATGCCTGGTTGACTGTGAAGAACAGTCGGGGGGAACATTTTGCACTTCCAATTGAAACAAAGTTAGATTAAAATACTTGTCTAAATGATCTGAATTAACACTGAAGTTAAAACCGAAATACAGTATCCTAGAAACATTGAAATATATATGGATTTGTCATTAAAAACAAGTTTTATCAAGTGGAAATTAAGAATTTATGGATCAAAATTAAAAAAAAAATACCCTTAAATTGCCAATCATGTTTTAAAATATATTTTACATTTTGCAACAACAGATCTATGCACTATGCAAGAAAAGCAATCAAATCCTAGCCATTGAGCAGTTCACTGTAGAAATATAAAATTTCCCATTTTAAAATTTACTACAGTATTTTAAAATTTCAGAAAGTAAGTAATTTCATATAGGGAAATAAAAATAGCTATTTTTATTGGGTATTAATAGTTGAATATCCAATAAATTTTTACCATGAAGTCGATAAACAATATAAATTATAATTACACCGAGCATAGTTTAATGTCTAACTTTTGTTGTTAATTTAAATGTTTTTATTTTATTTGTCACTTTTTGGTAACAATTTCAATGTTAATTTTCACTTCTCCAATTGGCATTATGTATGGTATAATTGACAATTATGCCATGCACGTTTTGGGAGAGAATGTTTAAGTTATCGTAGATTAGTTTTCTTGTGCCTGTGTGTAGCCTCTCTCCACCACTCGGATATGAGCTGCTTCTGGTTGAAGGTGGTGGTGGTGTTGGGCTGTGCTGTGAGGTGCTCACCTCTGTAGTAGGTGGCCACCTCACAGCACACACCACCTCCCTTCGTGTAAATGAAGAAATGTACTAATATGTTTATCACTTAGAATGTTCGGTAATATGCTTAATGTTTGTGATGTGTCTATATATATTTATATTATATATGAACACGTTGTACTGAACGGGGTGAGAATAGCTTGAGCTACCTCATCCCTTTGTGTGTATTTATACAGTACCTCAATAAACTTGTTTCAATTTCATCTCGCCTCAACTTTTCCTCATTGTCATTGAAAACTGTACATTAACCAACAACCGTGGACATCTTCAAGAGAAAACTGGACGGTTTTCTAAGAGAAGTTCCGGATCAGCCGGGCTGTGGTGGGTACGTGGCCCTGCGGGCCGCTCCAAGCAACAGCCTGGTGGACCAAACTCTCACAAGTCGAGCCTGAGTAGACTCCCAGAACCCCATCACCAGGTATCAACCAGGTAGCAAATGATAAAGGTATCTGTTGTATGTTTCCTGTCAACTGTGTATAAAAAATGTGTTTATGCTTGTATCTAATGGAGTGTTTGAATTCCTCAATTTAAAATAGTTGTGTAGAATTTGAATTCCCTCTTGTATTTTAAAGAGTGAGTATTTTTGTGTGTTCCATATTATATATATTAATATAAATTAAGTGTACGGTAACCCCCCCATCTTAAAAGCTATTCTTTGGATGAGGCATCAGTCTACTTTGAATAACAATGACTCCGCATGGATAGACATGGGACTAACAAATCTTATCAGAAAAAAGGTTACTGTTAAATGCTGAGAAATCTATGAAAAGTTAAAAGAAATTATATAGTACATAAAGCCAGGCAGGCTGAGACAAATCCTAAAGGAGTTTTTCAGATGTATCAAACTATTAGGGAAAAATTGGCTGATGGAAAACTGAGACAGATCAGATAACTGATAATGAAAAAAAAATTAGTACTGTATTTTAAGTAATCACTTTGCCTCTGTATTTACTGGAAAGTAATATTATGTCTACAGTTAAAAAAAAAAATTAATGTAAGTGTTGAACAGGGAAAATTGACTGGCTTATGGTAACCAAGGAGGAAGTCATTAATTAACTTCATTATTAGTTATTAAAATCAAAGCCCCAAAAAGCCCCCGGGACCAGACGAAGTATGACTGATTTTTAAGAAGGGAGATTGGTTACTTGCATTGAACTGTTGTTCAATTACCTTAATGTCTATTGTGGGAAAATTGCTTGAATTGATAAAAATAATCAATTATATAAATAAATTATATATATATAAATTGGAAAAGTTTAGACAGGACAGACCTGAGCAAATACCAGTTTGGAAATAGGGTTGTTGATTTATGGAACAAATTACTGTACCGGATAATATAATAGAGGTGGGATTGCTGGATTGTTTCAAGTGTAGCTTAGACATGTATTCTACTGTATATGAATGAGTTTGGGTGAATATAAATAGGCACTGCCTTGTGTAAGCCAATAAGCCTTTTGCAGTTACAGTACATTTGTTCTTGTGTTCTTATGAAGTATTAACCCAGTTGAAGTTATATATTCTCAAATTCCAGAGAAATACAGACATAGGCACACATCCTTTACAGACAGTGGTGGTAGATGGTTGGAACAAGTTAAGCGAGAGGATGGTGGAGGCCAAAACCGTCAGTAGTTTCAAAGCGTTATGTGACAAAGATTACTGGGAACATGGGGATACCACGAGTGAAGCTCTCATCCTGTAATTACACTTAGGCAATTACGCTACATGAAAGACATCTATACCATATTTTGAAAAGTTAAATGCTTATAATACACCTGCTATAATATAAGTAAAAGCACACTCTTTAATGATACTGGATGTCATAAAGCCAACACATTCTTTAGCAAGCTCGTATTGCTCTTACAAAAAAAAAAAAAAAAAAAAAAAAAAAAACAACCACGGCTGCTACAATGGAAACGTTTGAGGAGTGGATGACAAGGGACTCGAGATGAACAATGATTTGTCTAACTACAGCATTAGTGCAGACAATAAGTCACAATAATGTGGCTGAAAATTAGACTCTCGGCACACATCTGATACTGTAATTAAATACACGATTTGACAATGTTTCAGTCCGTTCTGGACCATTAACAAGTCTTGTAATAATGGTCCAGAATGGACCAAAACATTGTCAGATCTTATTTTATTATCAGGTTTGTGGGCTGGGTATCTATAATAATAAGTGATGATACTTTCTCATTGAGTAAATTAATGATAAAATCAACATTTTTATAAAAGTGCCTTGCATAGATGTTATCTTAACATTATGAAATTCACTAAATTGAAGATGTATAATGGGTGTAAGTTGGTTCTCTCTCCCAAGCTTTAAAAATTCAAAAGCAATGTTAATGTTTACAAATTTTATTCTTTTATATGAAAACACAGGTTATAGCATTAAAAAAACTTACTTTTTAACCCCATATGTGCAGCTGTTAAGAAAGGTGCCACTCTTCTTGTGGAAAAAAAAAATATTCTTGTAAAATTTGCTTGCAAAATTTAGGGGAAATTAAAAATATATATATTTGTTACACCAATAAGGACTGATAATTAAAAAAAAAAAATTCTTTTATATAAGCAGAATTATTGCCTTTGATGAAAGCTGCATGTTAAGGGTTAAGATACAAGAGAACTACCCTTGCTATCTGAGGTTTACTTAAATAGAACTTAATACAAAGAGGCATTTTTCAAGCTGCATAATAACTAAGAGTGGATGATCATACTGATATCCACGATACATACAAGGTTTCTGTCACATTTAAGAAGGATGTAATGTTAGGTATTTTGTTTTGGCTTCTGCTACTTCAGTGCAGAACATTCTGAAACTGCTATTGTAAAGATGAAAATTTTCAGCAGAGGACAATTAGCCATTACAGGCAGCCCTCGAATTGCACGTTAGTGAAGAGTATCGATCTGTTGGTACCGGGTGAACTTCAGCAACACTTCGGTGTAGCAAGGATTGTCCCATGTTCTGGGGTCGATCACATTCTCAACAGTGTCTTGGGCTTCATCTGCACATGCCACTTTTGTTGTGGTTTAGAGACTTAATTATATTATTGCACATCTCATACATTCTAGGTATCATTATTTACTGTATTGCTGGTTGGAAAGTGGGGAAATCATTCAATATTAATGTTGACCAAACCACACACTAGAAAGTGAAGGGACAACGACGTTTCGGTCCGTCCTGGACCATCGACTTGAGAATGGTCCAGGACGGACCGAAACGTCGCTGTCCCTTCACTTTCTAGTGTGTGGTTTGGTAAACATATTTCTGCTACGGTATTGTGACTCCTTGTCTTCAATATTAATGTTTAAACCGGTTAAAAAAAAAAAGTGCCCCATTGGAGTCTTTGGAAAGGAATCCTATTATTTCCATATACCTTCAAGTCTGATCTGTGAGGTTTTTACAATACAAGTGTTTTACACTTGACATTGGACACCACGAGCGTAGCTCTCATCCTGTAACTACACTTAAGTAATTACATGCTCATAGCCCATGCAAATCAAGGGCTGCCTGTACCTGCTGTTACTCAAAAAAGACCTATCAAATACAGTACAGTATTGTCATTAATTTATTGCACGAAGGTCTGTTGTTTTATGTTACAATGAAATTAGCATAGTCTTCTACTCTGGGTATGATATTAGTGTACTGTGCTGTTATAATATACAATTACAGTATATGGTTCACTTGTCTTCATTTACTGTAAATTTGAACACAATGGACTGACATAAGAAAGGAATGGAAAGTACAGTAATTAAGGGAATTATATTATAACCATCATCTAGTACAATTCTGATCGAGTATTTTAGATTTCTTTCTAATTTTATAAAATCAAGCTTAAGATGAGTATTATCATTTTCAAACCCCTGGACAACATGTCAAAATTTCTTACATAGAAACATAAGATACAGATAAATTAAAAGAACGAAATGTATATTCTAATGTAGAACAATTGTCTTTTACTTGGTCTAAATAACATAGATTAAAGTGACCTCTACACCATCCACTATCATACACTATAATACAATACACCCTATGTAATTATCACAGCTCACATTTCCAGTGATGTAACACACAACTTTGTCTACAACATCCAGAAAGGCTTTCATACAAAATTATAACACTTTCTATATAAAATGCAGAATTACAATTTTGTCTTATGCACAGTGAAGTGTTCCCCAGAAGAACAAGTCAATAATGCTTGACAATGAACACAGCAGCAACCTCTACCGCACGGGCAGGTCTTCTCGCCCACTCACACCAAACTCATAGTACAGTACTCTATTTAGATTTGTTAAGGCATAATTAAAATGGAAAATATAATTACCACATAAGGAAAGTCAGTATGTGTCAAAATCTTTGGGCTTAATATGTGTGCATGCACGTACGTGTGTGTGTGTGTGTAAATTTGCAGAATAACCACACATGGGAAAATAATTGCTAGAGCACTTTTAATCCGCTCAGACATTTTTCAATTGCAGACTGACCGACAGGAGAGCAGCCATTCTGCTACTGACAAGGACCTAAGAAGGTCAAAAGCTCTCCATCAACTATTTATTTTGAATATGTGGTCATTCTGCTTTAAAAAATTAGTGATTACTGATCTTTGTTGCATAATATATACATATATTGGTGTATACTGGCAGCAGGCTTTCATTTTGACATGTTTCATTGAATATGACTGAATATTTCATGTTGATTTTCTTGTTTAGGGCTTCAATCTCTCTAACTAGTGCTCTTGCATCTTGGTTTAATTGATTGAGTATATCTCCAAATGTCATTTGTTCAAGTTTGACAAAAAGAGCAAAAACTAACTGTATAATATATTAGGTTTGAAACGTTGTGTAAATTATAATAAGTATAATATACTATACAGTAAGTGTTTGCTCTTTTTGTCAAACTTGAACAAATATGACATTTGGAGATATACTCGTCCAATTAAACCAAGATGCAAGATCACTAGAGGGATAGAAGCCCTAGACAAGAAAATAATAAACACGGAATATTCAGTCATATTCTATGAAATATATGTATGTAACAGAAAAGGAAGGGTATATAGGTGGCAATGTTGTATATGGGGGCACTACTAACATATTTTTTTGTCAATTTCAGGTGTAATGACATGTCACGCTCATCATTCAACGATCACTGAAGTGGACATCACTTGGGTACAAGTCTTTGTCTGCTGTATAGTTTAAAGGAGCATAAAATTGATTTTTATTTGGCAAAATTGTGTTATCTTTATCTGTCAGTGACTTCTGCTAATTAGTTTGTCTAAGCCTTCCAGTGTGCTCTGACATCTCAATACTTGTACAGTACTTCCATATTTGATTTGTTAACTTTGGGTTGTGGCTGAACAAGCATTAAATCTGGTCAAGATTTGTCCAAGTTTAGGTAAATGGCACAGTGCAACTCAAGTTCAGCAAGTAAATTTTTAATAACAACTCAAGCAAGAAAGAATAGTAAGATTCTCACTTTCACGTTGAAGGAAGGCATCAGCTTACAAAAAAAAAAAAAAAAAACTATCAGCATCCAGTCACTAAGTATATACTAGAGCATTACGTAGAGCCAGCACCATTACACTCCAGCAATATATCCACAGCAGCACCCCACTGCTTCATACAACCAGGTATAAAGTGCTTCCTTGTAACTTGTCACTTAAAACCTGTCAAACATTGTAATGTCAAGCTGATTCCATCTAATCTAATTCCTTACCACTTTCCATGAATCATTCACACACAATTCCCCCACTTCCTCACTCGCTCACCAAATCTGGCCATCTCTTCCTCAATCTTCGTCTTCTCCACATTTCAACTTCACTTGAGAGCTCTTTCACCATCTATTCATTAAATGCAGATGACGAGTCACAATAACGCGGCTGAAGATACGAAGCCTAAACCCACACACCAGAAGATGAGGAGACAACGACGTTTTGGTCTGTTCTGGACCATTATCAAGTCGATCATTATCACGATTGACTTGATAATGGTCCAGGACGGACCAAAACATCATTGTCCCTTCATCTTCCATCTTCTGGTGTGTGGTTTAGTCTTCATGAATTAATGAATTTAATTAAAGTCTTAATTTATTAAATCTGATCAAATCATTTCATAAGCTCTCATAATTCTTATGATTTACTTTCATACTGCATGTCTTTTGTGATATTTTTGTTTCTTAATCTATCCTCCCAACACAAGTGCATATCAGGTTTTCTATATCTATAGCTCAAATTCTGGATTTTAAATTTTCATGCCACATAAGTAGGCATTCCTTCACACAGCTGCCAATCTTCCTTATTTTCTTACAAGCTTTCACTGCAGTAGTTTCTTTCCCTGACTTACTCTACTTTCAACCCCTCCAACACAAAATTGTAATTTTTTAATTAGTGTCTCCAGGTATCTAATTAAATCAACAATTTCCAGGACATCTAGCTTTACACAAATTCTGCACACCATGTCTCCTCCTCTCCCCATCACCATTACTTTAATTTTGGCAATATTTGCTTCTAACATTCTTCTTTTAAAAGTTGTGACCACACTGTTATAGACATGTTAATGAGCTCACCTGTTTGCCTTAATAGCAAGAATGACCAGAGTTCAAACACTGTGCAAGTGTGGGATGTTTGGGCACTGTTCAACCACTGTTTGTCCCTGTGCACCCAGCTGTAATTGGGGCCTGGGATGTAAAAAGATTAGTAGATCATGTTCTAGAGTAAACAAGGCACTGAATAACATAACTGCTTCCAGTAACTGGCTTAAGACTTAAAATGCCGACATCCTTTTTGGTCAAAAGCTGTGGGCTTTACTGCAAGTTAATGTGTGTCAAGAACTGTCCTTCCTTTATTAAGGAAGAACTGTCCTCCTTAATAAAGCATTTTATTAAAAAAGTGTAGCTTTTATAATTTATTCAAGAGATAAAACTGCCACTTCTCCGAGTTCATTTAATGAGTTTTAAGGTAAAAAAACCTAACAGAACTTTAAGCAAATATTTTTCCTACAAATTCTGAGATCAAATACCTAAACATTAGTCACATATCCATTTAAAAACAATTATTTATATTTTAATTTTTTGTCTAGCTTTCATTTCCTCTGTGCTCTCGATTTGCTCCAACACTCGACTGTTTATTAATAATATTATTTGTTAATTACTAACTTTACATAAAATTCTATTTGGTGCAAATTCATTACTTGTTTATATCAATATGCCTTATCATTAATGTGGGATTAGAGTATATAAAGTACACACAAGTGTATTCCCATACACAGGCAGGTGTTTGCAAGAGCATTTGTGTGCATATGTTCTTGTGTTTACATATGTACTTATGATTGCATGTGTGTGTGTGTGTGTGTGTGTGTGTGTGTGTGTGTGTGTGTGTGTGTGTATGCTTATGTCTGTGTGTTGGGAGATGACGGCAGGAAAATACCTTAAACACACACCCTGTCTTAGAGTATGAACACGTTTCATCAGATCACGTCCAGATTCCTCCAGCAACATCTCTAAGTATCCAGGAAGCAGACTGTATGCAGCTCTCCAATTTCTCTGGTATGGAGTGCGCACGTAGAAGCATAGCAGGTGTTGACACCGGCCAAACCATGACTGCTGCTGCCACCTTCTATATGGCATTGCCAGTCATTCTCTTTGCTGTCCTCCACAGAGAAGCCAACTGTGGAAAGCAACACAATGATCAACACGACATGCTTACAGATCACAAAGAATATAATGGGGTTTATTATGAAATAGAAAATAAGACACAAAAAGGTATTTTCTGAAGAAAAAAAAGATTACGTGTACTAACTGTATTAACGTGACAATATACATCTGATCATATCTGAAGGAATACAATGAACTAATAGTGAAAACCATTGCTCTCCTTGCAAAAAACATGTTATAGAAAGTTTATCTGATATTTTCAATATCAAAAGCTTATGAAGCCTCAATAAACATGTTCGTTGAAGCAGTCAGAAACACCTACAGTACAACCTTAATTCAATGAACTATATGGGACCAACCCCATTTCATTACAACTGGAGATGCCTCCAGGGAGCATTTTCCATGCTCTCTAGATTAACAACAACATTCCAAAATACCCAACTGGAGAGTTGCCAAATTGGGGCTCGTTGAATCGAGGTTCCATTGTACTGTATTAGGAAAATGAACTCGATAGTATGCAAAACATCAGTAAAGGTGAGAATAACATACCTTTACTATACACTAACCAGTAAAGGTTAGTGTAGTGTACCTTTTACTACACTACACTAACCAAACAAGTGGCAAGAAAAACACAAAAATAGCCTATGGCTTACTACAGCTATACAGTATTACTATTTATGAGCAAATGAACATGGTATCACAATCATCATGACTACCCATTTCCCACTTTCATTTTTCCATTTACTGTTCAAATCCATAATGCAATACTGTACTCTCTACTACCTCTCTTTAACAGAAATATCTGATTCCTTGCAATCTCTTCTACTGCTGGACCCACCTTGCTGATCACTAATTATTGGGTTATCTTTTGTCCACCTTTAGTCATTTTTCTACCATCAGTTAGTCTCATACCGCACAGCATTACCAACAAGACAAGACCCAAAGATATTTAATAAGGTGCTTTGCCACCAGCTCTACATAAAGATGGATGTAAATTTGTCTTAGATACTACATACAAAGATCAACAGAGAGCTAAAAGTGGTTGTTTAACATCAACAACCAGTCTTCTGTAAGACGAGAGCAGGGAAGGGGGCAGGGTGATGCACCTAGAGGGCAAGACAAGGAACAAAGGCTGAATTGGAACAGGGAGACACATAATATCATAAGCACACAAAGCTCCATGGCTTCAACAGGACAGGTAACAGTATCCACATTGAAGGAGACAAATCGTTTTCCACTAGTTTTAGTGAGGTATCGAGCATCAAGAGTAAAAGCATTGCATTTCCACTAGTTTTAGTGAGGTATCGAGCATCAAGAGTAAAAGCATTGCATTTCCACTAGTTTTAGTGAGGTATCGAGCATCAAGAGTAAAAGCATTGTAATCATAGAATTGTGTAAAAACGGAAAAAGCAATGCACTACCCAATCACTGTCCGAGTGTGGACGAGAGCCGAACTACTCGGGAGAAAGAGAGAGAGAGAGAGAGATGAATATCAATGCATTTCACACTGCTATCATTCGATGTTGGTGTGATAAAGAAAAAGATCCAGACCACACCAGTTGAATCAATGAATAGCTCTGGAGGCTGTCAGGGAACCAAACTCTAATAAATGACCAGAGGAAGCCTGCAAAGATGATGATGATGATGCAATCATAATGCAATTCCTGAGCTGTGTCAATTTATGTCACTCAAACCAGTGCTTATACCACTCACCATATCTATCTATCTGAAGGAAAATAACATCACTCACTCACCTCTTCCAAAGGACTAAATAAGTTACAGGAATCTCAAAGTTATATATATATACAAGTTATTATAATTATATAATACAGTACTATACTTAAATAATATAAGACATGTGTTGGATAATTCTCTACTATATAAAAAAATTAAATTGAAAGACCCTAAAACAGTCAAAGATATTTGTAGGCATCAAGGGTCACATAATCTTGGCCTTATGAGTGTTGATCTATAAGAGAAGATTGCACCCAGTCAACAACAGACCACAACAGCCACACACACACTGGCAGCACCAAAAGTAATACTCGGTAATTTCAAGTGGATCAGTCTTTACCAAGAGAAAACCACTTTTGAAGAGTTTCTAGTTACTGGTACTTGGGAAAGTGTGATATAGGCAAGGAAGAAACATGAGATACTCATAAAGTGACTCAAACCAACACTACCCACAAGAACTGACCTCAGTTCTGGTGCTGGTGATTAAGCTGGTGGCCACCTCATGGACCAACTGAACAAAAACTGGACACAAAGGTTGACTTAACTGACAGCTCAGTACCATCTGCCTACACCACATAACATAGTCAGGGTGCATGCGTGTTATGTGGAAGTGTGGACTTTTGTCACAGTGGGTGCTACCACCTTATGCTGGATGGAGTATGTTGGCATTAGTTTTGATTAATCATTGGTGTGCTCAGAGCTTGTCCCCCCCTAGCAGTTACGTAAGACTTGAGAACAAATCTTTCCAGTTACTGTCATCTAGGCTGGACTGACACTTTTTCCTGTGACCTCCAAGCACCTGCAGGGATGCAACAGTTTATGGCCTCAGGGGCATATCTTCCTGTCTGGCTCAATACTTAGTAATGTGTAATGGATCATTATACCTCTGAATGTGGCAGAATAAGGAAGTTCAGAAAATATGTTAGAGAGAGCATATGGCATTTGATTTTTTTTGGGTGACTGACAAGGTCATAGCCTACTTGTGATCAATGAAGTGGTCCATATAATTTGTAAAAAAACATTCAACATTTATAACACTGCTTCTTTTTCTCACCATGTCCTGGCAAAACAGGATAATGTAGATCAGTTCCTAAGCTATGAGTTCCTCTAAAGCTTTGTCTCGGTCATTGTCGTGTTTCAAGAGAGCATCCACGATTCTCTCCTCTTCAAACCCCAAGTCCAAAAGCTGCAAATCAAGGACGACATTAGCAAAATTGAATGATTCTTCTCTATTTAAAGACAGGACATTAAACTAACATAACATTGTTACATTTTAATATAAATATTTTTTTTTACATTAAGTAACCAATTTAAGAGTCAACACTACATGCAAGTTATCAATTGTATACCCAAACTAGTACATGCTTAAATAATTACCTGCTTGGCAGCAGCCAAATGGTCTCTTGTCTTCTGACGTCCCCTAAATAGTGATAAAATGCACGTTCTGCTTTGTATCCATCTTCACCATTCTCTTGAAGAGACTGCAGAACTAGAAGAACCTCAATAAGCTGAAAAATAAATTATCACTTATTCTGCAGGTCTCTTATTAAGTTTAATTCTAAATTTGTGGGGAACTTCTTAACAAATGTGAATGAAATTAGTACACACTGCACACCGATGTGCAGTGATATGAAACACTAACAGGCTGGTCACTCAATGGTCCCAAGTGCAGACCACCATGAGGAAAATGCTTAGATTCCAGCACATTATTGTGCCAGTTTCTGGATTACAACCTTATTCCCACTGGCACAGTGTGTAGAAACCACACACACATCTCCAGGCATATGAGATATACCTTCCTGTCTCCCTAGGTCTGCAGATCTGACTACAGATCTGGGAATGAACAGATGTGCACACATACTCCTGCTCTTACATTTAAGAATGAGCACCATTGCCACAGCTGGCACCCATATAAAAAAAAAACTCTAGGCAAATGCTCATAAAGATCATGAGTTTTGCAGCCCAATTAGTCAAAGTTTAAGATCAGATCAATTCTGGTATGAACTATTTAGTACCTGGAATGTTCTCCTGTAAAACTAGGCACTAAGCGAATTAGTGCTAAAGAAGCCATTATAGCACAGTCCCCAGTGAGATACATTTCCAACATATTAAGGGTTTACTGGGTTCTTTAAACAATAATATGAATAAATATAACTTGGCAATTTTAAACCTAATGCATGAAAAGCATGTGCTGGTATTTGTTTCGAACAAAGGCCAGTTTTGTTCACAGTGACAGCAAGTTGAGGAGAGTAGTAATCTCGGTGGCTATCACACAAATAAGTACACGCAGCAAGAGGGTTAGTACCATATATATATGTATACTGTATAACCTTCTTTTACTATACTGTATTATGGAAAAAGAGAGAAATGATAAGAAATGAATGAATTAGCATGTTTGTGTTGACAAGTGCCCTTTAGAACCAACCATCAGAGGAAAATATGTTCACTAAACACAACTCGGTAACACAAGCCATGAATAAAGAACATTTTAAGCAATTTTATACATTTATAATCTACAAAACATAAAGAAGTCCATCAACAATGATGAATTTACATACTAGTGAAAGAGCATGAATGAGTTAACCCCCAAAAGGTGATAGTTTTTAAGCAGTTGAATAACTGTTGGAGTAGGTGGTAGCAAGTCACTAGCCCTTGTTCCATTTAGATGAGAGCATTTACTCCATCTAAATAACAGCCCAACATAAAAATATATGTGCAATTGATTGCCAGTCAACATTTTATAAATGCAAAATAACATTTTAAAATGCTAGGTATGCACACATAAATCAATTTCAACATGTCAATATTCAAAGAATTATTTTCAATAAAATTTCATACTAATTTTTACTGACCTTTTTATGGTCAGTTCCTAGTTTCTGAACTGCCCTGGCTACCCTTGGTCGAGGGAATCCCATCTCAGCCATGCTCTGGACCAGCATTTGGGCATCTGTTGTCAACTCTGTAAATGGGTCTGGCAGGCGTGTCTTAACAGGTGTGTGAGGTAGGGGGCCAGGAGGGTGCTGAGTAGGTCCAGACTGATAAAGGTGCTGAGAGGATAATGTCTCCGGGGAATCTGATAAGTCGGGCAGTGGTTTCCAGTCCTGTCAAAATTTAGATTTAACATTTATTATTTTTAAGCCATACCTGTTTGATGGGGTTCTTAGAGTTCTTTTACTCGCCAAGTAAGCCTGGCCTGTTGCTTGATGAAGGGGGGGGGGGGCATAGGCCCACATATCCACCACAGCCCGGTAGGTCCGGCATTTCTTGAAGAAAACTATCTAGTTTTCTCTTGAATATGTCCACGGTTGTTCTGGCAATATTTCTTATACTTGCTGGGAATACTATATGTTGAATATGTTGTATGTATGTATCCAGCAAGAAGATTTATTTAAGAACTTCATTAGAAAGCCTCATACTGTAGCATCTCACTACGTGTACAGTTGTACATTAACAAATGCTCAACTCATATACTGTACAACTCGGTATCAAAAAGGGCAATGGAAATGGGTCCTGTCATAAGGTGTAACTCACACCGAAACCTATTATAACTTTCCTAGGGTTGTTCTCCAAATGTTCACCAAATTACTCTCAATGATATTGTTGCATTGATTCTTTCTTCTTTATTTGTTCTGTATGGGCTTTAAATTCAGTATCTCTTTCAGAATCATTCAACAGTACTTTAAGCTAAGCGTAACAACAATAACAAATGGTAAAGTGTATGTTAGGGGAGTTAAAAATGACTAATCAAAATTAAGGAAATTAATTGTTTACATCAGTAGAACATAAATATATATTTTTAAAGTTTCTAAAGCAAATGTTTAAAGAATCCGAGTTGAAAAAGTATAAATAGGCAACCGACACATTAAGATCATATGATATAAATAAAATTTAAAAATAAAATGTTTTTAGCATACCTCTAAGCCAGTTAATCCAGTACTAGAAGGCCGTGGTGGGGGAGTGTGAGAGAATCCTCGGCCCTCGTGAAGCGACTGTATGCCAATACTATATCTTGTTACTTCAGAATCTTCAGCAGCTGTCAGGTCGGGAACGCTCCGACTCGACCGCAAAGACCCGCTTGTTGATCCAGCCGCACCTGAACTACTGCTATGACTTGGTGTCGACTCTCCAGACTGAACACCAGAATGCTGACTCTGTTGAAGCAAGGGCTTATTCTGTAAATAATATCGAGAGTAAAAGTCTTCAAGATCTGGTCTTTTACTTGGAGTTGTTCCTCTATCCACTGAAGGCATTGTTGGAAAGCCACTGCTAGTGGATGTAGGAATATTAGCTGTGCTTCCAGAATTACTACCAGGACTCATTACTCCTCCCTGTGTTGCACTAGCAACACTACTCGATGAGTTACCAGCTTGGCGGCGGTAATCATAAGGCACATATTGTGCAGCTTTACTAGGGCTACTTACATTAAAACTATTATTCCACTGTTGAGGATAATAAGAGTTTTGGAAGGGTCTGTTAGGGTTCCCACTATACTGTGAGCTGGCTGAATATGATGGCACAGTAGATGATGCACAAGTTACTTGTGAACCTTTACTTATATGGCTCCCATACTGGCCAAAGCTCGGACTTGTCTGTGATAAGTTTTGCTGTTGCTGTTGTTGATGCTGCTGCTGTTGTTGTTGTTGCTGTTGTTGCTGTTGCTGCTGTTGCTGCTGTTGCTGCTGCTGCTGCTGTTGCTGTTGTTGCTGCTGTTGCTGCTGCATGTAGTATGGGTACTGTGCATAAGCACTGTAAGATACTTGGCCATTTGTGAACATATTTACCTGTGTTCTCCCCTCTTCAGAAGAGTTATGCTTCAGAGCATTATTTCCTTCAGCTGACTGTTGTCCTACATTTGATGAATCAAGAACTTTAGCCAATTCTTCCATGTCATTTATAGATTTTAAGGCAGCACTGTCAAAGGGATCATTACCTTCACCTTCGAAGTCTGCAAAATTTATGCTAGCTGGAGTCTTTAATGGAGATTTAAGAATATTCTTCTGTGAGGGAAAAGGCGTTGGCTTGAGCATCCAGTCATATGGGGATGCAGTATCAAGAGGAAGACTTGGTGTACGCGTAAGGGAGTCTGGAGTTCTCAGGTGTAGTTGAGAGTTTGATCCAACAGCTTCTCTTGAGGCAGGTGGAGTGTTTCTGCCAGTTTCGTCACTATCCGCCTCTGCCGCATGGGTTTCCTCTACGCCATCCTCTGCTTCATCTTGTACTTCTTCTTGTTCTTCTTCTTTTTCTGACTCGCCCTGCCTTTTCTCCTCCTCTTCTCTTCTCTTTTCATTATCTTCTTCTCTTCTCTTTTCCTCATCTTTTAGTATCCTCTCTCTCTCCTCCTCCTCCTCATTCTCTTTTCTTAACTTTTCTTCCTCCTCCTCTTTGGCTTTTTTCTCTGCTTTTCTTCTGTCATATTCAGCTATTCTTTCTTTGCGTTCCCTGTCCTCCTTTTCTTTCCGTGCCCTTCTTTCTTTCACCCAACTTAAAGTTGTCTTCTCAACTGCAAAATCATACTGAAATTTAAATAAAATTAAGAATTAGAGAGTCTTTAATAACCTGTTACATATTTGTAGGTTACATAAAATTATTTCCTATCCTGTGATCAAACTATGATCCCCCAATACCTTCTACTTTAAGTTTAGCAGTGAAAATTTAAATGAAGAAAACTATACAAGTTCAGTGCAAACCTTGATTCAGCGAGCGATATGAGACCAACCGCGATTTGTTGTAGTGAAAGATTCATGGCAACCTCAGATGCCTCCTCGAGGCATTTATGAGATGCTATTATTATTATTATTTTTTAAAGACAAGTAAATACATTGCTTCAGCCATTTCTTTCTTCTAATGTTGCTTCCATCTATGAAAATCCTTAACATGAATGGAGCTTTATTAAGTGTGTTACCATTCATACCCTAATATTTCCCATGCTCTATGGGCTAATTTCACCGAGCAAAATTTAAATTTCAGCCAATCATATGAAGGATAACTACCATGATAACCCGTCTCTAATGCAATTTCACCACATCAGCATATTTTCTATGCTCCCACATCGAAACTTTATTTTCAAATGAAGAAGGGCCCATATTTTGAGCTAAAACCAAGGAATCTTGAAATGAAAACAAACTATAGAATTTGATTTGAAATACCCTCAATAACTTTCCCAAGACTCGAACTGTTCCTTGCAATTATGTGTCCATCTATAAAAAGTATTAAAAGCATGAGTGGAGTCATATTAAAAAGTTTTCCATTCTTGTCCTAATATTTCCCATACTCTATGGGCAAGTTTCAATGGGCGAAATTTTAATTTTAACCTATCAAATGTTCAAACCTATCAAATGTTCAAACCTATCAAATGCAATGTTCGCACCAGTCTCTGACCTTTGGCCCAGCATCCTAAGCAAATCCGCACATTTCCCATTTTCCTGAACTCCTATTCACTGAATCAGATGAATAAATGCGGCCTGGAAAGTATGCATTACAATCGGAGAGCCGCCAAAACGAGACTCGTTAAATCATGGTTCCTTTGTAACAGATACTCTATCTACCCATCCACCTATTTATTTGTCTGAGTGTATTACAGGTGTTGGAACCATCATTCAGGAGACATTGGCTCAGCTAATATTTCCTAAAATTTTAATTATTAGCTATGTTTACAATGCCACATTTTAATTGCAGTGAAAAAGTGTGTCAACCATGAATCTGTACAAATACCAAGTTTGATAATAGCATTTTGAGCTTCTCTATATGTTTGAAAGCATATTAAATGGGGCTTGCCCTGAGAGCTTGGAACTGGCTGAAGAAGGCTTGTGCATTTAAAGAGCTGAGAAGCACTGAGAAAACAAAAAAAATGAGTACAAACCTAAGGAAGGTGGATAATTGAGAATAGAGCAGGGTGAAGGACGAGGGAGACTGGTTCAATACATATAAAGCTGAAGGAAAGTGGAACATGAAAGAGAAACCTAGACAAGAGAACAGTAACAAAAGAAATATGTGAAAGTGCTGAAGGCTGTCACATAGTGAATCAATGTTGTCTTATAAATATAGAATACAAATTCCAGTCCATACCATATATTTTAAGTGTTTTTTCCATGAAACTGATCCAATATAAACACAATGCTAATCTGTGTGCGCACTCCATAATAAAACATGACAACTAAATGGAATAAAAAACATAGCCAATGAGTGTGGGAATCCATCATTCAAATGACATCTTAGCCAAAACACGTTGTTATTGTAGAGATACATCATGCAGAGTAGACTTCATTATTGATGATGTTTTGCCTACAATGGATTTGTAGGCATTCCATCATTCCAATAATTTTTACTATCTATTTGGTGTTTCTGTAAATAGTACTGTAATGGCACTGTGTGCTCTATTCAACCAACTAAATAGTGGAGCTCTATTCCCTACAGTAACTAAAACTTACTTAAACACATGAGCTTTACTGCAGATAACATTTCACTCACAAGAGGGAAGGCAGACCAACAGAAGCCTCCTTCCCAGTGATGAAGCAAGGATGAATCTTCCCACCACAGGCTAGGAAATACCAAAACCTCAAATAGAAGCATGGAGGCCACCTGCAATCCAACCACGGATAAAAATGGAACCGATTTTACAATTACTGTAATAACAAAGGAAGCTTGAAGCCTCTTGGGTGGGCCCCAAAGTCTGAGGAGATGAAACATACAACCAACGTATCTAGCTTCAAGGTATCCAAGGTTCCCCCCCACCCCACAGGAGCATTTGCCTTTATGCCATGTAAAATGTCATACAGTACAAGATAGTAATAACCACCTGTGCAGTAGAAACAAGCCACACTTACCTTTCTGGACTCAGCCTGCTGAGCTTGCCATGAACACAATCAGGAAGAATGTGAATAGTAGAGGGTCTGTGAATATTGTTAAATTGACAGCCAGGGTTGCTAGATTTTCAGGAATTTAATGGGTTGTGAAATGACTTCCTTTGGTGGGAACGAGTGATCACAATGCAACTCTAAGCCATTCTGAGCTGGACTTAGTTTGTCTCTAGTGACTCCAGAGCACCCTAAATATTCCAGACAAATGTTTCTTGTCTTGTGCTAGACTGTAAGGACCTATGTTAAGAGGATCTTACACCAGAGGCAATCAAATGCAACAACTAAGAAGTTGAAAGTAGCTGCTAAAACAAAAGTTGATCCCTTAGCACAAGTGGCAAATGAACATTTTTATATGACGTATTCTCTAAGCAAGAATGATTATAACTCCAACATGACATACCTCTTGAGTCAGAAGATCTGGGTTAATTTGGTGTTGACAGGATGGTGGTATAGTGACTCGTCTGGGGGGCCGGTATCTTTCACTAATCTTCACAGGGACACCAGCCACAAAGGTGGCCGGGTCAGTGGACATGGTGGGCACAGGAGATGGGTCCTGCCACAGAAACAAATGTGTTAGGAAATAAGTGGTCTGTTTTTCCCCTTATTTAACTTTCTGAAGGAATCACTTGCAAAAGTAAAATTATGAGTACAATACACAAATTTCCTTCTAAATAGGCTCAATATTAATATTGTATCTAATAAAGAACATTTCTTAAAAATTTATATCTAGTTTTACTCTCACTTTTTTTAATTATACAATACTGTATACTTATTCAGAATATGCTGACAATAAACAGTTATACAGTATAATGGAAGCATGAGAAACGATGCCGACTCTAGCCTAACCTGGAATATTTCATTAAACACAACTATACTATTAAGATGAAATATAGCTCTAGCAACGTAAAATAACACAAATGATTTCCCATTGTTGGAGACTGGAAGGCTGTTAGGCTTATCAAGGTGACCCCAGGCCAATGAGTGATCATCTGCAGGATGCAACCCACAGCAGTTTTGCCTAGCTTCCATGTACCTATTTACTGCTAGATGAACAGAGGCATCACGTGAAAGAAAATGTGCCCAAATGCCTCATCCTTTACAAATACAAATACAAATATTTATTCAGGTAAAGTACATACATACAAGGTGAAATACAAAAGTTGATGGATTCATAGATAGAGCTAGTACATACAATGCCTAAAGTCACTATTACGGAAAGCGTTTCGGGCAGGAGGCAGGAATCAACCTCGGGTCTAATCGACTGAGAGCCGACGGTGCTGCCCACAGGTCACACATGGCAGCAGAAAGCAAAAGCAAGTCTGCTACCTGTGTAATGTCATTGATGACACTCAAGTTTTCCTACTTTGAGTCAGGTTTCAGACCCTAGGCCAACTGGCCTTTACCCTATCTCTTTCTGAGCTGCCAGTTGTGCTAGTCTTTCCCTGAACTCAGATTCAACGAGATTTCAACTCATGAGAGGTGCTAACAATACTGCATCTCAAAAAGTACTATTTGAACTCATTCACAGCTCATATTAGATAGAAGAATGTACGATGAATCAGAGACTCGTCAGAGCCTTGTGGCCTCATTTACTGCAAGCGCCATGTCTGGCTGGCCCCGGACACTAAACAATGAAGACACAACCAGAATATCATAGGACAGCCCCTTCAAGACATTGCAATAGAAAGACAGGGCAAAGTTAGGGCGTAATGTCTTAAGAAACTGCGATGTAGCACCTGGCCACCAATCAGCTGATCAAGTCATAACATTCCCCCGTCGACCTTCCACACTTTTCTTCCGTTATTTTGGCCTTACAGACGTGAATTATGACATGTTTCATGGCCTAAGAACAAGGCAAGATCATAGGTCCAACTCACCTTGTAAAAAACTAACCTAAGTTAACTCTAAAGGTTTTGTTAGCGTCAAGAACAAGTTATTTTCTTCCCATATTTTGACAACCAGCCATCTATGTTGTTTCTGGGGACTACTCGCTCA